TGCGGGGGTGGGGGGCCGGGGGGGGGGGGGGGGGAATCCCTGAAGGGAGCGGTGACTGACAGTCACCGCTCTCTGCAGGGAGATGATCAGAAAGTGAGCAAGCGACAGTATGTGATCTCCCTCAGATCAAAGTACACAGACTCACCATGCCAGTCCCGAGCCAGCATGGGGGACAGCGGAGCCCAGGATAGCCAGCAGAAACAGCAGTAGAGGGGCGGGCGCACACTCCAACACACCTTACAAGCGATCAGGCAGCTTTATAGCCAGATGAATGCTTGTATGCAAAGGGGAAATTGGTACAGCCATTTTATTTTGTTTTAATCAAATATTGTCTAACATCATGCATTTACCTTTTGTCATGCCCATCCGAGAATGCTACTTCAAATGTATTTACAAGGAAATTGGTTCCTGTGTACCACAGCTGTCCTTTTAGAACAATCGTAAACAACATGTGTGAATGGTCATCTCTCACTCCTGCAGATGCCATCAGAAATAAGATTTACACTTAACCACTTCCGGGCCGGCCGTAGTTAAAAAACGGCTGGCCCAGAGCTCTCTAGATCTGAGCGGGCGTCTTTAGACGTCCGCTCAGACACGCCCCCTCGCGCGCGAGCGGGAAACGGCCGAAATTTTAAAACAGGCAGCGATGCCTGTTACCATACAAGCGATCCGCCGGCTGTAGAGCCGGCGGATCGCGTGTATGGGGTACCGATCGGTTTCCGCGCCAATGTCCCGCTGATCCCGGGCTGTGCCGTGGTGATCCGAATCTACGAATTTCCGAATATTCGTCCGAATTTCGATTCGGAACGAAACGAATCGCACACGTCTAATGAACATACATACATTCATGGGGGGGAAAAGGGAGTCCAAATGTTATTAATTAAACCCCATATGTGCGTTACGTGAGTACTTGTGTTTATTCCTGTGTCTCTTAGATTGAATTCCTTATACTAAATTTCTCCATAATTTTTTTTAACCCCACCACCCATAATATATGGGTGTAGTCCCTATTTCTATGTGTACCCCTTAAAATATACATATCAACCTGTGGGTAGCTAAGTGTGATTCCCGCTCCTATAATATCTAAAGGAGCTGGTGTCCTGGGAGTCCCCAATTTAGTGTTATATTATAGAGCGGCCAGGTTAGCTCAACTCTCATACATATACTTTCCAGACTACCAGCCTGACTGGTTGGCCTTGGAGTCGGCATCTGGATCCCCGGTGGACGTACTTATGTGGATGACTCCTAGACGTAGCCCGGTGGAACTCGCGCCGACTCTATCCTCCTCCTTGGCATGGGACCATCTCCGAAGGAATTATAATTTAGCCCTTATCCACACTCCTTTGGCGCCAATACTCTGCAATCCTAACTTCCCACTGGGAGCTCATCCACGGGCGTTTCAGTGGTGGATCGATAAAGGTCTTTATCGCATTGGACAATTTTTTAAAGCCTGTCAACTTATTACGTTAACTTATTGTCTGAATACCTTACATATGGCACCTACTGAAACATTCCATCATAAACAACTTCACCATTTTTTGAATTATTTAAGTCTCCCTGCTGTGACCTCTCCTTTTGCCATTTCCTATGAACGATGGTGTTTGCAATTACCTACTCCACATGGAGGGATATCTCTCCTCTATTCTCTTTTTTTGAATTCCTCCTCGAAGTTCGCTTATATGATCTCTTGGGAAAGGGAATTGCAGACTGAGTTGCCGTTGGACCTGTGGCACGCCTGCTCCTCCAGGTTGTCCAGGGGACTGCTTAAAGGAGAACTATGGGGTTAAGGCTTTTCCCCATAGTTCTCCTCAGGGTAACGGGAGGACTCAAACTAGCGTCCTTCCGTAACCCTAAGCTCAGTATACCGCGAGCTACAGTCAGCGCTGGCGGATCGGAGCGGGGAGGGGGGAATCTAGCCCCTCCCGTCATGGCAGAGAGCTGTGACAGGATCGAGACGTGAGCGAACGCCGGTATGTGTTCGCTCACCTCCCGATCTACTGAGCCGACCTGTGACAGTCTCATTGTCACAGGTCGACTAGAACTATGAGGTGAGTGAAAAGCACTAACCTCATAGTTCTCCTTTAATGTAACTCTGATCGAGGCTAATTATAAAGTTCTTTCACGCTGGTATATGGTACCATCCAGATTAGCTGCTATCTACCCATGCCAATCGCCTCTGTGCTTCCGGGGCTGCAGACTCAATGGGACCATGTTACATACAGGGTGGGAATATCCATGTCTACGTCCTTACTGGAATAGACTTTTTGCCTTAATCTACAGAGTACTCCAAATCTGGCCTACTTGTGATTCACAATATTTCCTGTTGGGTTGTGCAGTCCCGGAAGTATCCAAGTCCGAAGACAAATTGCTATCATTCTTTTTTCTAGCTGCAAAAATTTATCTGGCGAAGGCCTGGAAAACTAAGACAGTTTCATTTAGGCAAGTAGTCTCCAAACTGTCGTGGATTATGGTTCACAAAAAGATGAATAGCATCCTCAGGGATACTCACAACACTTTTGAGAAGGTTTGGGACCCCTGAATGGGATATCTTAATGTTCCTGTGAATCTCTAATCCAATGTTTTTAATGCAATGCCGGCATACCTTGTCCTAGTCTTGGTTGCCTCTCCTCTCCTCAACCTTTCACCACCCCCTTTTCTTTTATCCTTCGCTACTACTATCCTTTTCAGTTCCATCTTTATTGTTCGTTCCTGTCTATGTCTTTCTCTGGGCATCTGAAGTGCATACGGACGTCATATGGGTTAACACTTTCATTGTGTTTAACCTCTCTTAGCTCTGTAAATCATGCGTTAAGCCTGTGGTGGTGATGCTTCAATTGAGTTGACAGTGTATCCATGTGTGTCATATGAGATGCCTTGTGTGTTGTATTTTTACTTGTGTTGATAAAATATAATAAAAAACTTGTGAAAGTTAAAATGGCAGAGGAACAGCAGCTGTTGTAAGCTAATTTTAAAGAAATGCTTATCTATCAGGTCTCTATCCGGTTTCTGATGCTGGAACCACCAGCTTTAAAATTAATTTGTTCACTTTGAGCTTTACCATTCTGCTTGGTTTCATTATAGTCACACTCATATGATATAATATTAATCAGCAGACTTTATTGATTATATTTTGTGGTAAATATATCAGGGTGCACAAATTATGTAAATGTTGCATACATTCTTTTTTTCCTCATTTCTTTTTTTTTTTACTACTTACAATTAAAAACCAAGGGAATACAAATATATATAGTATGTATCCAAATTTGCTCTCAAATAAAGCTCTATCTGTCCAAAAAAATGTATTGGGGTGGGCTACAAATGGTAAAAGGTGTAATGTGCAGAACGGAGACATCCTAAAAATGAAAAAAAATGCTCTGAAACTCACTGGGAGTTAGGGGGAGAAAAGGCCCGGGACTCAAGTAGTTAAAGACTGAAATTTCACAGTAAATAAGTACTTACTTAAAAATGTCAAGGAGAATGATAACCATGTCTGCAGGAAACTCCACATCCATTGACAGGTTTTTAACATCTGAAGGTGAGCCACACATAAGAAGCACTGGAAGATAAAAGTATTAATGTTTATTTACAAAATACCTATCATTTTACAAGATATAAAACTTCAATAAAGTGATTCCATGTTTTATGACATGATGAATAGGGCAAGATAAAATAACTAGTCATGCTCTGCAAAATTTGTGAAGTGATCAGTATCATTGCTAGCATGCTAAATTAATGGTAACATGATGGTAACAAACAGTAATTAGTTTTTGAAGGCTGGAGCTCCAGGGTTGTCTTCCTTTTCTTTCACTTCTTGTTAATGCACCCAGAACAAGCATGCATAGTGCAGGTTCCAATTTCACTGGTTGCATAGTAATTTTAGGCAAATTATTCACTAGACAGTGAAGCCCCAATTCTTGCATCTTTAAAAACAAATCTGCAACAGCAGGATATTTCTATCCTAAAAGTGTTTGGCTGTCATTAGCAGATGTCTCCCAAAGAAAAACCGGCAGACAGGAAGACATTTTGTTGTTCTCAAAAATTGCCTGAACCTGTCATTTTGTACCATGTAAATTAGCTGACAGACTGAAGCAGCACAGCCCCAAGATGGAAAATCTCTGTGAGATAATACATTTCAACTGTTGGACACACTCTTGGGCCTTGTATAGTGTCTGAAAGAGCTGTATGGTTAACACAAAGTGTCTAAACATAATGACATATTTTGGGGCAAGCAGCACAGTTCACAAATGAAAAATAAAAACACTGACAGGTATTTTACAGATATTTAAACCCAGGAACAAACATTCAGTACATTGCAATTTACCAATCCTTATTTGTGGTGGCCAAATTGTATTTTTTTAGATTAATTACCATTGGTGTGTGCATGGAGCAGTGGCGGATCCGGGGGGGGCAACGGGGCAATTTCCCTCTGTGTCACAGACGTTACTGCGGTTCATTGTAAAAAAACATTGTACAATGAACTGCAGTAAAGTCCGTGGCACGGAGGGACAGCTGTATGTACCGGCGGCTGTGCGGGGATCTTTTGAATGAAGCAGGTAATTGGCAGCTGCAGCTGCCTGTCATTGTCAATGACTGATAGCCAGGCGGAGGCGGAGCCGATACACGTCTCTGCAGGAACCCTCTCCTGTGACCCCCTCCACTGGTCGCCAAGGACGCAGATGAAGAGGTGCTGCAGCCTGCATATGTTAGGCAGGGACGGCCTTAGGCCTTTAGGCGCCCTGTGCGAGAAAGCTTTACAGCGCCCCTCAGTGACCACACCCCTCAGTGGCCATGTTGCCATGGCGCCCTGTGCGGCCGCACTGCTCGCACACCCCTAAGGCCGGCCCTGATGTTAGGTAAGGTTGGGGTAGTCTGTGGGTAATAACTGGCTTGGGGGGAAAGGGGGAATTTGGGGACAAGCTGGGCTGGTGGTATTCAGCATTGCTGTATAATGATTATACAGCAATGCTGAATGCCACCAGCCAGGGGCGGACTGACCATCAGGGGACCCGTCACCCCGCCC